CCCTTATGAAGGGTGGCAGACTCGGGTAGTACCGATGCAATGATGCCCCTCGCTGAGACACCCGTGAGGTAATATAAGTCGAGGAAGAAACCCGACCATCGGATGAGTCGGGCCCCGTTCAAATAGCTCTTTGTGACAAGGCCAGAGGAATTCCACGTCCCCGACAACTACGAGGACGAACCTTTGTCCATGCATAGCAGATGGGAGAAATTCCCCTCCTCCACGGTCATAACTGGCGGGGGATTCAACAACCTCTCCGTAAACTCCGCAAAGAGGAAGCTCGACGAGTTGGTGGATGCATCCCCAATCCAAGTGATGACACTCGAGAAGTTCAAAGGAAAATTTGAACCGATCACTTTCTACCTGGAGGAGTTGCCCGACGGGGCTGCTAAATCGAGCATCCCTCTGCTAGTAAGGGTAAGGATGGCTAATTTTGACGTACATCGTAGGCTAGTCGACGAGGGGAGCTCTGTCAAAGTCATGTACAACCATTTATTCCGAACCCTACAACTCAACGACACCCACCTATCACCATACATGGGGTCCGACTTGCAAGGATTCAATGGCTCGACCTCCAAGCCGTGGGACTATATTGAGCTTTTTGTCACCTTCGGGGAAGAGACCACTTCCCGACAGATCAAGATGCAGTTTCTGGTGATCAACTGCCCATCTCTCTACAACTGCATCCTAGGGAGACCCACACTGGCCGAGTTGACCGTTGTTCCCTCGACTGTCCATTTGAAGATGAAATTCTACACCCAAAGGGGATGCGTCACCACCATCCACGGGGACATCTCAACTGTCCGAAGGTGTTTTCACGCGACTTCCAAAGAGCAGAGTATGGTTGACACTAGATCACGGCCTGCCAAAAGAGATACTACCACTCGACCTGAATCACAACCTTCTTAGACAGAAGAACAAAGGGCTCCATCGAAGGTCGACTCCATCTTGCTTGACACCCTCTTTGACAAGGATGAATTCGAAGCCCCCAACAGTGAACAGGAACTTCTCCGACCCATTCCAGACGAAGACTTCGAGTTCTCCCCCCTCGGTGAATACCCTCACAAAGGCATAAAGATTGACACTGGACTCCCTGACTTGGCGAGGAGGAAACTCAAAGCTTTCTTGAGGGAGAACGTGGACCTGTTTACATGGAGCGCTATGGCATTAGTACAACGTAGACATAGGCAGTCTCCCGAGAAAGTGGAGGCTGTTGAAAATGATGTAAAAGACCTCCTAGAGACAATTTTTATTTCTGAGGCCCGATATTCAACCTGGCTCTCAAACGTTGTACTTGTCAAAAAGAATAATGGAAAATGGAGAATGTGTGTTGATTATACTGATCTTAATCAGGCATGTCCCAAAGATGATTTTCTTTTACCTAACATTGATATGCTGGTCAACAACTCGGCCGACTATAAAATTTTATCGTTTATGAACGCCTATTCGGGCTACAACCAAATTCCAATGGAGATGAGCGACAAGCATTGCACCATTTTCATGATCAACTCAGGAAACTACTACTATAATGTAATTCCCTTTGACCTAAAAAACGCAGGGGAAACATACCAGCGTGTGATGAATAAAGTCTTCCACAAAGAGATCAGAGACATGCTTGAGGTATACATGGACGACATGATCATCAAATCTCGAACAGAAACCGACCATGCTGCCCACCTTAAAAGAGTCTTTGCCCAAGCGAGACAATGCAAAATGAGATTCAACCTCGAGAAATGCACCTTCGGGGTTAAGGCGGGAAAATTCCTCGGTTTTTATCTGACCTAACGGGGAATTGAAGCCAACCCCGACAAGTGCCAAGCATTCTCCGAGCTTCCTACACCTAGCTAGAAAAAACTCATACAAGTCCTAAACGATATGCTCACCTTGCTCTCCCGTTTCGTGGCGAAATCCTCGCAACATACTCTACAATTTTTCAAACATCTGCGCAAAGAAGCGGCTTTTGAGTGGACTGAGAAATGCGAGCAAGCCCTCCTCTACCTCAAGCAAATCCTTTCACAACCGCCCTTGCTGTCGCGAACTGAGAATGGGGAGACCTTATTCCTCTACCTGGACGTCTCCGCCAAGGTCGTAAGCGTGTACCTCACTCGCGAGACTCCAGACGGGCACAAGCCAGTATCTTTTACGAGAAAAGCGCTACAAGGGCATGAGGTTAGATATCAACAGATTAAAAAAGTAGTCTTAGCCCTCATCAATGTAGCGAGGAGACTTAGACACTACTTCCTAGCCCACACGATTATCGTACGAATAGACCAACCCGTGAGGCAGCTCCTATGCCGACCATACATGGCCGGTCAAATGCTGAAATGGTCTTTGGAGCTTTCGAAGTTTGACATCCAGTACGAGAGCAGGAAAGCCCTCAAAGCCTAAGCACTAGCCGACTTCATCACAAAGATGACCAGTCACGATTCCCTCATAGGGAAGAGGCATAAGTGGACCATCTTTATGGACGGAGCTTCCAGCTCGACAGGGAGCGGAACAGGAATCCTCCTCGAGAACAAGGAAGGTGTCGTGATTGAGCACTCCCTAACCCTTTCATTTTCGACATCGAACAATCAAGGGAATACGAGGCCCTTCTTGCAGGATTAAGGCTGGCCAAGGATTTGGGTTCCTGGGAAATAAAAATTTTCACAGACTCCCAACTCATCGTATCCCAGGTGCAAGGAGGGTACTAGGCTAAGAACAACAGCCTCGTCGAATACCTGAACCTAATCAAAGAACGGATAAAGAGGTTTGACCGGGAAGAAATCAAACACGTATCTCACGAACAAAACACACAGGCATATACACTTTTAAAGCACGTGAGCACAAAGAATTAAGGGGGGAACAAATCCGTCATCCAAGAATCCCTTTCTCGCCCGAGTATTGGAAAATCCACTATACCCCCTGAGGTAAACGCCATCGGGGACGATTCAAGTTGGATGGCCCCGGTGTTTAACTTTTTGATAAAGGGGGAATTACCTGTCGATCAAAGGGAATCATCCGCTACCAAACGATGAGCCTGTTTGTATGTGGTGCTCAAGCACAAACTTTATAGGCGAGGATTCTCCATCCCACTCCTTAAATGTGTCGATGAATCCACAATCCCCGAGATATTATGGGAGATCCACGGGGGAATCAACGCCCAACACCTGGGCGGAAGATCCCTGGAATGAAAGGCGCTGTGGGCAGACTATTATTGGCCCACTATGCAGCAAGATGCAAAGGTGCACGTCAAAAAATGTGACAAGTGTTAGAGACACGCGAACATGCACCTCGCGCCCACACGAGCTGAAAACACTGTCATGCCGTTCGCCTGGTGGGGAATGGACATCCTCAGACCCTTCGTGCAAGGTTCCCATCATCAACATCGTCAATGCGATTTGGAGTGCTCGAAACAGAAGCAAATTCGAGGATAGGAAAACTGAATGAAATATAGCTTTGAATACTGTCAAGATCCAGGTTGCTTTTACAGGCAATACCACTCTTAAATCTGGTTCTAACTCTATGCTAGATTACCAAATCCTGAATTATTTTAATGTTAATATTTTCCCTCCTAAGGCCTATATGGTTAAGGAATTTTTATGGCACCCTCCTTTTATGAACCAGGTAAACTGCAACACGGATGGGTCATCGACAGGTTCCATCGCCGCCTACAGAGGAATTTTCAGAGACCATAATAACATTCATTTGGGAAGCTTCTCCAAGTTTATAGGGCATGAGAATGCTTTCATGGCATAATTTTTTGGAGCTATTTTGGCTATCGAGATTGCAAAACAAAAGATTTGGGTCAACCTTTGACTTGAATCAAATTCGAAGTTGGTGGTTTTAGCATTCACGAAGCCCCAAATTATTCCTTGGTCTCTCAGGATCAGATGGGATAATTCTCTGCATTATTCTAGATCCATTAATTTTCTGGTCACTCTTATATTTAGAGAAGACAATCATTGCGTTGATAAACTAGCCAACATAGGCTTACATGTAAATGATTTTTCTTGGTGGGATGTTGTTCATAGAGATATTCTTACGAATTTTGCTAGAAATTCCATAGGTTTATCTTGTTATAGAGTTTCTCATTAATGAGTTTTTTGGTTTGGTCCCCCCCTGATCTCTATCTGTAACCTCATCCTTTTTTTCTAATATTTTTATTTTGTGGTGGCCTTGTCCATTTTCTAAAAAAAAGTTGAACCGTTAATGTTACTAAACACTTCAATTAGCTTATTAGTTGTTCTGGTCTGGGCCGGCACTTGCCCCATTGTTGGGGAGGCCCAATCCAGCGCTTTTACCCAAGGCCCAAAGGCATGCAGCCCAAGTTGGAAATTGTTGGTCATTTTCTCACGTGGCCGCTAGCGAGACGCTGCCCACGTGCCCACATCGTCATCATAACTGTCCTTTGGAAATCACGGGTCCAACACCTGTTCTCTCGGAGCAGTTGACCAGGAAGGAGGCCACATGCTGAACTCTATACGCACGTAAGCCTTGGCAGTCTTGGTTGTTGGACCTCATTGTGGCTCAACATTGAAGACTTTGACCCAACGTTGGGGGCTATAAATACCCTCTCACTTGAGAGGGTCAGATATTGATTCATTCACACTTTCATACTCACTTACTTACATTAGCTCTGAACCTCACTTTGACATCAAAGTGTCTTGCAGGTACCCTCCACTTCACCTGTCACTGCTGTTTAGCTCGAAACTTGAAGGCTTAGACGATCCCTTCTGGTCAGGTACAATTATTAGCCATCAGTTTCAACCATCAGTTTTAAGCTATAAACTATCAGTCATCATACATCAACTATAAACTATAAGATATTAACTAACTTATTAGTCAACTGCTATTTTTATCGAACAAACCCTTAAATTATAAAATTTTCAAATGTTAAGATCAATTTCAAATTTAAATATAAAATAAATATTTATCATAATATCATAATATCCTAATATAAATAATTTAAATCATTAAAATATTACAGGTATATAACATGTTTATGAAAATTATGTACCTTAGTAGAAAGTTAGTTCATTCACAAATTCAAGAATATTCTTATAAGAACTTCCACCCTCATCGACAGAATGCTTAGCCAAAATTTTCCATTTCATAGCATTTTTCTTCATTTCCTTTCCCTTTTCAGTATTCATTATTTTCCTTACACAATCTTCAATAATTTCTCTTCTCACAATCTCTTTCACATCTTTAACAGCTCTAACTCCAATTTTCCATACATCAACAATAAACTTAGCATTTGTAATTTGATCTGTCCAAAGTGGCATTGCAATCACAGGAACACCAACACTCAAAGCTTCCAGTGTTGAATTCCAACCACAATGTGTCACAAAACAACCAACAGCTTCATGTGTTAACACTTGTAGTTGTGGACACCAATTCACAATTAATCCTTTTTCTAATGATGATTCCACAAACTCCTTTGAAAGTTTATTCTTTTCTGAATCTCTAATAACCCATATGAAATACACTCCAGAATCTCTTAATCCATAAGCTATTTCATTTGTTTGGTCTTCACTATGACCTGCTAAGCTTCCAAAAGAGACATACGCAACCAAAGTAGCCTGGATAGGTTCCATATTGATACAAAAATGAAGGTAAATCGGAAGCTTCAAGCTTAGGCAAAGCAGGTAATACAAATTCTGTTTCCAACAAAGGTAAATCTAACCATCCCTTAAAAGCATGAAAATTGATAGTATTAACCGAACAAGCTTGAGTTAAGAAAACAGCAACAGGGATTCCAAAAGTCTTGGAAACATCAAAAGTCCAATGTAAGAAAGCATCATAGACAACACAATGAACAGGTTTGTTTGAGCTTTGAAGTTTATCAAGAAGTTGAGAAAGAGTTTTTGGTCCAACTTTCCAGAAAGTTTCTTTGTATGATTCCATGCTTTCTGCTGATGAAAGTCCACCATTGTCATAACCATCTGAGATGCTTTCGATTTCAATGGAGTTGAGATCTATGTTGTTGATTTTGTTCCAAATGGAAATTGTGTTTACAAGTGTGACTTTTACTCCTTCTTGGATCAAACGTTTGCAGAATTGAAGCATAGGATTTATGTGTCCTTGTAATGGATATGGCAACACTAAAATATGTGGTGCTTGGTTTTTTCTTTGTTTCTCCATTGGTTTCAACAAAGAGATACTAGTTGTTTTGTGAATGAGTGTGGATGAGAAAGGTAGGCCATACCATAGCTTTAAAATCTCAGCCGTGTTGGTAGATACTAGATACCAACTCATTCTATGTGAAAGCTTTAACATGTTCCCCTCACCTAAAATCGAAAATATCAACGTGACCTGAATAATCTACGTATAGAAAAATAAGAGAGTGAATAATATAATTTTATTATAATATTCTTAATCATGTATTAAAAATGATAAAAAATTTAATTAATTAAAGAGTAAAATTAGAAAAAGTGTATTGAAAATTAAAATGAATAATTTATTTTAGAACACTATTTTATTCTAAATGAATCATTCATTGTAGAACGAAAGAAGTAACGTATTTCAATTTCATTTTAAGTTGGGTGTAACTCAAGAGAAAGATTTTTAGATTTGAGCGCACTTACATGGCAAAAATAGATATGTATATTTTAAATAAAAAGAAGTGGGGGAAAACCAACTATACATTAGATTAGAGTCAACTAGTATCATTAGTGCCAAGCAAAAAGAAAGAAGACATAAGACAAAAATGAAAGAGACAATAACGTTACTATACCAGGGTAGAGCAACACTCAAACAATTAACAACTCTCATATAAGGTGTGAAAACCACAAAAGAGAAAACTAACTAGAACTTTGACGACCAAACCTCATTAGCGGAGCAGAAGATTCATTAGTAAATTTAAGACCACTAAACTCTCTAGAGTAGGTAAGAATTTTTGATCTGCTATTGCTTAAGACATTGTTTTCCGATAATTTTAATAAACAATCACTTAGTTTTAAATTTATTGTTTGAAGGATCAAATTAGTAAATCCTAGAACTTATTGTGTGATTTTTTTGAAAAAAGTTGTGCATTAAAGTTGTCGTGAATTAAATATCAATTATGTTGAAAAAAGGGTTAGGTAAAGTATAAGTAAAAGTTTAAAGAAAACAACAAATCAACTGAATTGAATTGATAGTTTGAACATAAAGAAACAAAAAAACTTATAAATTATACAAAAAAATTTATTTGCATAAGTAAAATTGGTAAAATTGATAGGGTGTAACTCAAGAGCAAGACTTTTAGATTTAGGTAGACTCAAATATTTCAACATATCCCCCATAATCCAAGTTATCGAATCTACGCTAGTCATAGTCGATCTGAACTATTCCTAATTTCTTTCTCAAATTCAAGAATCTGTCGATCTTCAATCTTTTGGTGAAAATGTCGGTCAACTGTGCTTCACTTGAGTAGTGCCTAACTTTAAGTCCACATCGATTTACCTTTTCCTCAAGAAGTGAAATCTAGCTTCGATATGCTTACTTCTTTCATGTAAAACTGGATTCTTCGCCAGATTTATGGCTGACTTATTGTATTGCAACATCAGAGGTTTCTTTACTTTGACCTCCATTTCTTTAAGTACTGATCTAATCTAAATTTCTTGACACGTGTAACACCCTATTTTCCACATTGTATATTTAATAAAATCAGAGTAATTTAAAATTTTTCAATCAACATCAAAATAGGATGTCACATTTCATCATCTCAAAAATTACTCAATCATTTATTAAATAGATACATAACACAACTATTTCTGATGAACCGACTACATCATCATCATAATTCTCAATACCTCAACTTAATTAACGCAATGGAAAAGAATTCATAATTTAATTCCAACATCGTCGATTCGCCATATGACCAACAATTCTCAATTAAAAGAGAGTTTACAAAGCTCCCAACAAAATTCTTCAAAGAAAACATCAATTAAATAAAATGAGTATTCATCCCCGATGTTACGTATCAGAGCAAGACCTGACTCAATCTACGCAATACGATGCGCAACTCCATACCTCAAGCGATCTAATCTTTTTCATCTACGTGTTATCCACGTAGAGACAACATTCAAACAAAAAGGGTGATGTATCATAACAATATAAATGAATGTATGATAATGAATAGGTAAAGTATGACATACATAATCATAATGTTAATACTTCATGCATCCACACCAATACACGAAATTGTCTTAATAATCACACCCAATAGTCAAACCAATCACATCTTATTCATCAACAATATCATAATTATTCATACTTCATACATTAATGCCAATACACGTCATAGTTTCAACAATCACATCCAACAATCAATTAAATCACATCTTATTTACCAATAACATTATAAATGCAATGAGACTAACTTCACTAATTATATGCACGTGGTACCATAAAAATATCTCTTTACCATTTAGGTTACACTGTCACTTCCCATTAAGGCTATACTGTCACTTGCCATTTAGGCTACACCGTCACTTGCCATTAAGGCTACACCACCACTTATGAACATGCATGCAACACTAATATGTTATGACAAAAAATGAAATGACACAACACACATCAACAAACCAAGCCAATACAACTCGTTAATCATACATCATTGTTCATACATCGTCGCAACATCACTAGATCATGAAATCTCTTCGTATTCATCGTCATATTCGCAAATTCGCAATTACAACAAAATATCAGAATAAAACAAAATCTAGATTATCATCTCATATGGTGTTCAAATCATTTTTATTGAGTAAAAAATATTTTTAGATTTTCATAGGTTCGAACGACGCGTCAAACGGACACCCGAGTAAAAAGTTATGAGTTTTCAAAGTTTTTCAGAAAATTTATCATTCTTTCTCAGTGGTAACCGGTTACACTCTAGTGGTAATCGTCTACTGCAAAACAGAAACTTTTGAATTTTTAAAACTTCTCGCGGTAACTTGTTTCCCTTTATAATGGTAACCAGTTAATGCTATTTTCACAAAAACATCCATTCCGCCAAAGTCTTTGGTACCCGGTTACCCTATAATGGTAACTAGTTACCTCCTCATAATTTTTCCCATAAATCAAATTTTTGCACGCGGCAGAGTTAGAACCCCACCCTTACCTTAGGTTTTGAATTCTCTTTCCTGCTCCAATGGAGTCTTACCTTTAGCCCTAGGTTCTTCCTCTTCTCTTCTGCTTCAATTCTACGATCTATTTTCTCGTGTTTTCACTTTTGTTTTCTAATAACACATCTTAGACTCCTAAATTCATATCCCATCTTGCCCTTTCTTATTTTAATTATTTAATTACTAATACTATAAATAACTTGTATCTATAATAATAATAATAATGATAATAATATAATAATAATAATAATAATAAAATTATTACTAGTCTTCTCACCACATCTCTATGGTTCTATAGTTTCGATCATACACCCTTAACACCTCAGCTTCTATAATTTCTAAGACATCTCATCATCAACAAACGCATCACATCACATTACATCTGTGATACGGTGGCAGAACCGACTGTTAATACTGCTTTGTGTTTTTTGTTCGCAAAATGTCACGGTAAGCAAGAGTCGCCACCGACTTTTATTTTATCCAATCAGGAAAAGGAAAAAGAACAGAAAAAACCTTTTTCGAGATGTTTCTGAGTACAGGGGGTAGATTATAGAAAGGGAAGGTGTTATCACCCTTTCTATCCATGGTTTTCCATTGGCTCTTAGGTACTTGCTCATTTTGAAAACTGCTTGTGTGTGCTTGTTTTGAAAAGTTTTGTTTTACTTCGTGTTAACCCTTGTTTCTGTCCTCAAGAGTGTTACGAAGTTGTTTTTGAAAACATTGTTTGAAAAGTGTTGGCGTGGAAAAGTTTTTGTTTGTTTGAGCAAGTGCCCAGGAACTAATCTACCTACTTGAAAAAAGTCTGTTCATTTTCCTTTTAGACAGCGATATCCCATTATTAAGGAATAGGTAGCACCGTCGCTGGAGTTTTAAGGGACGTTCGAAGGGACATGTACGATCACAAAAGCAATGCTAGGAAATATTAGTAATCATCCTAAATCCTTAAGGATCTTTTTCCGAGGCAACATCTCAATGAGTCATTTTAGATCTTTTGGGACTAGAGGACGACCACTAACAAACCCTATACTTCATGACCGTTTACCGAAGGCAACCGGAGTGGGGCAAACCCTAGGAGTGAGCATGTGCGAGTGTATGTTTTTAGTTAATTTATCTTTGCATATTTAGGGTTTTCTACTGTATTAATTTTCAGTTAGTCTTTCCATACAATCCTATTAACATTCATCTAAGCAGTTTATAGTTTGCAGAAATAAAATGCGAGAAAGTTAAAAGTCCTAGCTATTACAAGGCTTTTGCAGATACATAATTATCTTGGACTGAAAATAAAGATGCGGAATTTAAAACCCTAATTACTATTACAAACTCGGAGCAGTTACAATAATAATAAAAAAGGAAATTAAAAGCGCGCGGCGAATTAAATGCGAGAATAATTAGAAAATCTAAAAAATCTAGTTGAAAAAAGATTTAGGTTATTTTTGAGAAAAAATTAATTAGGTTATGTACAAAATTAAATCCTAATCCTAATTATTGTTAATTATAAAAAAAAACAAAGTTAAACTGCCCTAATTTAATTAAACTAATTAATTAAAGAAATAAAATAATTTTATGAAAATAAATAATTTTTAATGTTTTTATGATTTTTTTTATTAAATAAAAAAGAAATAATTTTGATGTTATTTTAAAAAAGAAAATAATTAAAAGAATTAAAATAAAAAAAAGATAGAATGGGCCTGTTAGAAGCTGAATGAGGGGGTATGATGCTGAATTGCTTAGGCCCATGAAGTTGAGCCCATTCCATGCGTGTGATTCCCTATTGTGCTAGCCTGGGAGTGCACCATAGTCCTTCCTTGGTTGAGGCTTTGGATCTGGCTAGCAATGAATCCAATGGCAAGATGGTGACAGCGCATGGGAGGCGCTTGGAAAGGCAATGCACATAATCATGATGCCAAGTCATCGTCTCCTTCATTGAGACCGTCTTCTTAGGTATCACCTTTTACCTACAGACAAACGTCTGTAGCCATAGCCTGTACACTTCAAACATCAAGAAATACGCATGATAAATGAATTAAAGACCATGGT